CAAGGATATCATTTTGCTGCACTGTGTAACACTACTGGTTTATGATATGATAAAATTATTGGTCATGAGACTAATTTTTGTATTTGTACTTTTGTATTTGTACTCGGCATTGCTGTCCTTGCCGTACCTCAGGAGCCACTTTTTGGAAACAATTCATAATTACACGTTTTACCTTTTCTCCTTGGGGAACCAATCTATGGGGGAGACGGGGGGACACGGACATTTTCCCCTGCTGCTTCACCTTCCTTTTCTCCTTCAGGATAGTTACAACAGGTCTTGAGAATTTTGAATATCCTTGGGATGTTCAAACCAGCACGGTCCTATTGCTGTGTCTCCTGAATGTGGTTCAGGTTTTGTTTAAGGTTAAACAATTATTTAAGAATACCGTCCAGAGATCAACCCCCGTCGACAGGCACCGTGGCTACTCCAACCCCCATCGACAGGCACTGCAGCTACTCAAACCCCATCGACAGGCACCACAACAACTCCAGCACCCACGACAGGCACTGTGGCTACTCCAACTCTGGCGATGGGCACTGTGGCTACTCAAACCCCAGCAATGGGCACCGCAACTACTCCAACCCCATTGACAGGCACTGCGGTTACTCAAACCTCAGCAACAGGCATTGCGGCTACTCCAACCCCCGTGACAGGCACCGCAGCTACTCAAACCCTGGCAACAGGCATTGCAACATCTCCAGCCCCCATGATAGGCATTGCAGCTAGTCAAACCCTGTTGACAGGCACCACGGCTACTCCAGCCCCCACAACAGGAACTGCAGCTACTCAAACCCTGGCAACAGGCACTGCGGCTGAACCAGAGAATCAACCCGTGCCAGTATCAGTCGCCCCTATACACAAGATGAAATACACAAGAAAATCAACTCATTTAGTAAGGGATGAAGATGAACCAGGGCCATCATGAGAACACGAGGAGGAAGAGGCAGAACCCGTAAATGAGAACCCGCTCCCTAACCCTGAGTGAGCTGCGAGATATACAAAAGGATTTCAGCCATCATTCAGGCGAGCACGTTGTCACCTGGCTGCTCCAATGCTGGGATAATGGGGCCAGTAGCCTGGAATTAGAGGGTAGGGAAGCCAAGCAGCTGGGATCCCTTTCTAGGGAAGGGGGCATTGACAAAGCAATTTGAAAAGGGACACAAGCCCTCAGCCTCTGGAGGCAACTCCTGTCAGGCGTGGAAGAAAGGTATGCCTTCAAGGAATATGTTATATGTCACCCAGGCAAGTGGACCACCATGGAGAGAGGTATCCATTACCTGTGGGAATTAGCCATGCTGGAGGTCATTTATGGTGACCTGAACAACAAGCAGTTATCCAAAGTTCCAGATGAAGTCAAGTGCACACAACCCATGTGGTGGAAGTTTGTACGGAGCGCACCATCTTCATATGCCAACTCATTGGCAGTGATGACCTGGAAAGACGGAGAGGAACAAACAGTGGATGAATTGGCTGGTCAACTCCGGCAATATGAAGAAAGTCTGTCTTCCTTTCTATGGGCCTGCATCTTGGCTGTGGAGAAACTGCCGGACATGTTAGCCAAGAAACTGACCTGGGAGTTCTAGCAATACAAAGAGCGTATGTCCTACTCCCCACCTGTACGGAACAGTATCTTGGCCATTAGGAGTAAGTGTCCCTCTGCTCAAGAGAGAGGACATAGTGGATCCACATGACAGGCGACCCTGTGATTTTACCTACATGACCACGGAGAGGACATGAGGAAGTGGGATGG